TCAAGCCCACAACCCAGGCACATGCCATGACTGGGAATCGAACCTTGACATTCTGGGTCCATAGATCAGTGCTGAATGACTGAGCCATGCTGGCTGGCAATAATTTTTTTTTGTAAATTAATTTCCACTGGTTGCTTTATATACAATGCAGGATAGATCCAGTATTTTTTAAAAAAATATTTTAATTGATTTCAGAGAGGAAGGAAGAATTATTTCTTCCTCTCATCATTGATTGGCTGCCTTCTGCATGCCCCTTACTGGGGATCGAGCCCGTAACCTAGCATGTGCCCTTGACTGGAATCTGAATCTGGGACCCTTCAGTCCTCAGCTGACGTTCTGTCTCCTGAGCCAAACCAGCTAGGGTAATTCAGTATTTCTTAAATATGATATTTTATACATATCTCTTCTCAGAGACATGGAACAAGTTTATTTTCAACTCTGAAGTTTTATCGCAGATTTCTTCCTATAAGTATATTTATTCTTTTGGTTTGGGGTTCTGTTCACCTGAAAACTGGGTTATTTCTTCTAAAATGTCACTGTCTTTTTGGTCTGGGAAAAGCACTATTCTGGACCAAATGTGATCTGAAATCATGCCATTTGTACTGTCACTGCCTTATGCTCTGCAGTCTCAGAAATGTTAAGTATCAGTTGGTAGTCGGAAGGGAATGTGTTTGCTCTGCTCTTTGCTTGTCAGTGGGTGCTGATTTGGCAGGGGAGTGCAGGAAGCCTTGGAGAGGAACAGACCCCACGACGGGAGAATAAAACTCCTCCTGTTCATTCAACAAAAAACGATTGTCTGCTGTGCGCCAGGCACTGCTCTCAGAGCCTGGGAACAGCAGTGAACAAAGCAGACCAGTCCCTGTCCTTGAGCAGCTTACCTTTCGCAGGGGTGACAGACAGCAAGAGAGATGGAGGCGGCTGGTGGGGGTTGCAGATTGCACTCTGAACTCTCTTGTTCTGGGTTGTCATCAACAGCAAGGTGACGGTTTAGCTGGAACAGACAGGGAATCGTCTTGAGCATATCTGGGAGAGGGGTGGTCCGAGTAGAGAAACAGGGAGTACAGAGACCCAGGGTAGGAATGTGTCTGACCATTGGGGGACCAGCCAAGAGGCCTGAGTGGCTGGAGCCCAGGAAGGGAAGGGGGCACAGGCCTGGAGTGAGTCTGGGAGGTAAGGAGAGGCGGGGCAGCTTCTACAGGGCTTCCCTCTTAACAGAGATTTAAGCAGAGGAGGGATGTGATCTGACTTTAAAAGGGTCCCTGGCTGCTGGGTTGGGAATAGACTGTAGGCGGTGAGGGCTGAAGCGGGAGGTCGGGAAGAGGTGATGGTGACTCAGAGGGTGAAAGTGGTGGGAAGAGGTCGATTCTGGATGTTTTGAAGGTGGATTTGAAAGGTTTCGTTGACCTATTGGATGGGAGGTATGAATCACGCAAGCTTTCAAAGATTTTGGCTGAAGCAACTGAGAAGGCAAGGAACAAGTTTTGTAGACAAGATTAGAGCTCAGTTCGGGGCATATAAAATTTAGTGTATTGTTTAGAGATTCCGGCTTTATTTTTACCATGGTCAAATAATTTAAAAAAAATTATTTTTATTGATTTTAGAGAGGAAGGGAGAGGGACAGAGACAGAAACATCAATGAGAGAGAATCATTGATCAGCTGCCTCCTGCATGCCCCCTACAGGGGAATGAGCCTGCAACCCAAGCATGTGCCCTTGGCCGGAATCAAACCCTGGATCCTTCAGTCCACAGGCCGACTGAGCAAAACTGGCTATGGCCAAAATAATTTTTAAATAGCTTTAAAAAGTCTTTTATTGGACCACATGAAAGTTAATTAAGACTTTTGTTTGTCTTAATTATTTATACTCAAATCCTTCACTCTAAACCTTTATATCTATTTTATTGATTTCAGAGAGGAAGGGAGAGGGAGAGAGAGAGAGAAACATCAATGATAAGAGAGAATCATTGATTGGCTACCTCCTGTACCCCCTCTCTGCCACTGGTGATCAAGTCTGCAACCCAGGCATATACCCTGACTGGGAATGGAACCTCTTTGTTCCTAGGTCCACGCTTAACCGCTGAGCCATACCCAGCTGGGTAACATCACTCTAAATCTTTATATGGGTAGATCATTTGAAGAATTGAGCATTTCCTTTCTCTTACGTGAATGTAAAATGTTATTCTCCCCCCCCCCCCCCCCTTTTTTTTTTCAGAGAGAGAAGAAGAGAGAGGGATAGAAAGAGATGAGAAACATCAGTTGGCTGCCTCCTACATGCCTCCTACTAGGGATCAAGCCCACAACCTAGGCATGTGCCCTGACTGGGAACGGAACTGGTGACCTCTTGGTACATGGGTCAACACTCAACCTTTCAGCTATATCGGCTGGGTTCTTCTTTTTTTAAACATAGAAAAATTTTATTTCATTCAGTTCTTTATTCAGGGTGTTCAAAAAATTTCCTTATGAAAGAAAAGCACTATTTCCTTTGCTTTGGCTCTGATAGACAAATCATTGTTTATCTTAAAGTGAGAAAAATGTATGGGGAAGAGGCAGCAAATTCCTTTCCTCTTTCTGGTGATGGACCACGTTTCTGATAATTAGTAGAATGTCATTGATCTTCAGGGTTTCTGAGGTAAAACATTTCTCCATTGGGCAGGAGCTGTTGTTTAAAAATATTCTCCTTTTTTGTCCTTGAGAAAACTTTGCTTTTTCTGCCATCCCCATTTCCCCACAGGTAGAGATTGCTTGATTCTCTTGGGTAAAGACTGATTATCTAGAAACTTTAAGTGAAGAGTTATTGTGTATATGACTTTTTAAAAAATATATATTTTATTGATTTTTTTACAGAGAGGAAGGGAGAGGGATAGAGAGTTAAATTCATCGATGAGAGAGAAACATCAATAAGCTGCCTCTTCTACACTCCCCACTGGGAATGTGCCTGCAACCAAAGTACATGCCCTTGACTGGAATTGAACCTTCAGTCCGCTGATGCTCTATCCACTGAGCCAAACCAGCTAGGGCTGTATATGACTTTTTGTCTAAAGATTGAACTCAGTTTAGTACTTATAAAGAATTTCAAAGTGTTTTCATGATTCCTCCAGCTGAGCTACTTTTGTTTTAACCTTGTGCCCTTGCCTTTAAAGTTAATGTTGCTTAATGCTCACTTTAAAAAGTTCCTGTTCTCCTGCTGTAGATTTATGATGATAACTGTGCCCTTTTAGCATTAACTGGTCCTTCACAGCTGAGATATATATTGCATTATACTGTAACCACAATTCTGGACTAGTGGGATTTCAAAAGTGGGCTTAAAACAAAGGAGAAAAGTATAATCAACAAGAGCTACTGTTTAAGGAATTTTGTTATTTTTTAAATAAATTACTTTGTTACCTTTTAGCAATATAAAATTTTCCCCCCCTAATGATGGTGATACTGTTTATCTTTTGATTATTTAAATATTTGTAGGACTTAACATCGTTTTGTTTAAGAACCTTATATAAGGATAGTACAGGATATATATAATTCACAAACATAATATCTATTAAATTTTTACACTGTTTATAGAGCCTTTCTTGGTCATTTGGTGGAGACACAGGTGATCTTGTTAACATTCATGGTGTAGAAGCCAGCTGCTTTTATATTATTATTATTAGTAGCAATCATATTTCTAAAAGCAGTAGGTATATTAACAAGTCTAATATCTGAATATCATAACAAACAAACATGGATCTCTGCTCTTAGTAATCTTGTAAGGTAAAGAACATGAGAGTGGAGACTTGGACATGAATTTGAAGAGACTGTCTATTATGTTAGTGGAGGAGCAGGTATGTGAAAATAACATAACCTATCTCTGGACTTGGTTCAGCCCCTTTGTAGTGGAGAATATTGTGGGCATGGAGCTGAGCTCTGTGGGTTGGAGTTGCTTCTTCTGTTTGCTCAGGACTCTTACAGAGTTGCTAAGAATCCTATATAATAAAACCCTAATATGCAAATTGACCAAATGGTACAATAACTGGTTGCTGTGACGCACACTGACCACCAGGGGGCAGACACTCAAAGCAGGAGCTGTTTCCTGGTGGTCAGTGCGCTCCCATAGGAGCACTGCTCAGCCAGAAGCCGGCTGATGGTTGGTGAGCTGCAGCAGAGGTGGTGGGAGCCTCTCCTGCCTCTTCAGCAGTGCTAAGGACCCCTGGGGGGTGTCTGACTGCTGGGTTAGGCCTGCTTCCTGCCCCAGTGCACAAAAGTCATACACTGGGCACTGCGGATAGTGGTGTTTTACTTAGGTGGAGAAACAGGAGGTGGAGGATGGTGTTTCTTTGAATCTCCCAGAAATTGCCACCATCACTTCCATTTCCTTGTCGGCTCCATGGAAGGAGGCAGGAATCCTGGTCTGTGGCTTAGTATCTGCATTTGTTCTGATGGCAGAAGTCAATCTTGGAACTGTCAATATACTCAAATGATCTATTTTTAAAAAAATAGATATTTTTAATGATTTCAGAGAGGAAGGAAGAATGAGAGAGAGAAACGTCAATGATGAGATAGAATCATTGATCAGCTGCCTCCCGCCTACCCCTACGGGAGACTGAGCCTGAAACCCAGGCATGTGCCCTTGGCACAGGAACCAAACCCAGGACCCTTGGCTCTGCAGGTGGACGCTCTATCCACTGAGCCAAACCAGCTAGGGCTAGAAATGATGGATTTCTTCACGGTCTGACTCATTTTCTCTGTCAGGCCTGTTCTGGGGGGTATGTTCAGGAACAAATCCACTTGTTTGTTTACAAAAAGTCCTAGTGTTGAGCTCGCTTCGGCAGCACATACACTAAAATTGGGACGATACAGAGGAGATCAGCATGGCCCTGTGCAAGGATGACACACAAATTCGTGAAGCGTTCCATATTTAAAAAAAAAAAAAAAAAGTCCCAGCGTTTCATTAAGCTTGTAACAGATCCAGGTAGTGTTTGAAGCCTGTCTTTCCTTTGATTGAGGTCTCCTTTCTTCTCCCCTCCAGGATCTGCACCGCCAATGGATACCGAGGGGTTTGGTGAGCTCCTTCAGCAAGCTGAACAGCTTGCTGCCGAGACCGAGGGCATCTCCGAGCTTCCCCACGTGGAGCGGAACCTGCAGGAGATCCAGCAGGCGGGCGAGCGCCTGCGCTCCCGCACCCTCACACGCACGTCCCAGGAGACGGCAGACGTCAAGGCGTGAGTACTGGCGGGGAAGCAGCGTTGGCGCTGGGTGGCTGGGGGGGCAGGATCCATTTCTTCTTTCCTGTCTTGAGTTTGGATTCAGTTTGTAAATGGCACGCAAGCCAGATTCTCGGGAACTCAGAGTGATTTTGTAAACAGGCCAGTAGCCTCGCTTTGTCTCCTTGCCCGGGCGTTCCAGCCTGTCTTTCTGACCAAGCTGTGAGCCCCTATCACAAGCAGAGATGATCAGGATGGGAAGGGGCGAAGAGTTTGTCATGCAGAGACCGGCCACAGCAGTTCCCGCCTGGGTTCGCTGACGGTTGGGTCACAATGGCTCCTGTAAGTGTATTAGTCAGCGTGGGCCCCGCAGGTGAGTGTTACTGCCTGCGCCAGTGAGCACTCAGAGATGAGCAGTGTTTTTAAGGGCACTTGGAGGAAATTGATGGACAGTCAGTGGCGAGAAGCCATCCAAGCGAGGAGTGGTTCTGTCTGCTGTTGTCAGTGACCCCGCGGGCTGCCTCTGAGGGACCTGGCAATGCAGTGTCTGCCAGGGGATTATACAGGAAAGAGGGTGAGTGTCAGGGAGTGCAGCTGCAGAAAAGTGCTGACTGATGGCCGGCCAGTGGCTGCTGCTGCTGCACAACATTGATTGGGCTGTTGATTCCACAGACATGTGTTTGGGGTCCTCACTGTGCTAGGCCTGGGACTTCTCTGGGGCTCCTACCATTAGTTAGCCATGGTCCTTGTCTTCAAGGAGCTTATAATTTTGGGAAGCAGAAAAAAATCTTGGTGCTTTCCATAAGAAGCATGATTTAGCCGGGCCAGCATGGCTCAGTGATTGAGCATCCACCCATGAACCAGGAGGTCATGGTTTGATTCCCAGTTAGGGCACATGCCTGGGTTGCAGGCTCGATCCCCAGTGTGGGACTTGCAGGAGGCAGCCTATCAATGAATCTCTCTCCTCGATATTTCTGTATCTCTCTCCCTTTCCTTTCCTCTCTGAAATCAATAAAAAAAATATATATATTTTTTAAAAGAAGTGTGATATATTGACTACTTAAGATTTTGCTTATCCTCACAATGAATATTAGGACTGTTGTCCTCTTATTACATTGAGTAGCTGAGGCTCAGATCACACAGCTGGTGAGTGATGAGCCAGGGTTCAAACCCAGACAGGCTGACTCCAGAGCACATGCGAAGGGGGAGGGGTACTGTTATTTATGACCGTGGTGGGTCTGGAAAGTCAGAGATTTTGTGTGGGAGATGTGGGAAACTGTCGGTTTCTGAATTGAACTTGAGAAAGACCTAAGTGCTTATGTTAACACCAAAGGCCCTGTGCACAAAATTTGTGCAAGAGTAGGCCTTCACAGCCCAACTTTGTCCACAAGGTCATCCGGAAGGTCCTTCCACCCTTCGGCCGTTGGGTTGATTTGCATATTATGCTTTTATTATTATAGATGGGTACATTGTTTTGGGTACGTAATAAATGTCCCAGGAATGAGTATAAGGGCTACAGCTAATCTTGAGAGCTGAAAGTTTTGGCTGCTTCAGTAAGTAGGTTGTAGAAATTGTTCTGTTGATCTCCCCAAAATTTATTTTTAAAAACAATACTAGTTAGTTTCGGTTCTGTTGGTATTGGTAAAGTAAGTCGGAGGAGCCCTGGCAGGGATTTTGAACTATCCACCTTGCAGCTACCTGCAAACAACTGCTCCCCGACTGTTTATCAGCACCCTAGCCAGCGTTAGACATTGCTGCTAACCAGGCTCCTTACTGCTGCTCCCATTGCCTGTGGTTCCCCCGGTCCTGAGTGTGCGGGCTCTGTGCTCGTGTGCAAGGATGCTGCTGGAGCCAGATGATCATCCTGCCAGCTGAGTTGCTATAGCTATAATTTAATTGCATCAGCCTTACAGTCTATTAAGAGCAAAGATGGAAAATGTTTTCTTGGTAACAATATCAGCCATGCTCTCTTGTAAATTTCCATTCTTCCTCATCGCTGTCTACCTTAAATTCATTATTTTAGTGCAGAGGAAGTTAGAATATTGAAAGAATGGATAAAGGTGGGGCAGGTGCTTAAAAAGAAACCAAAGGGCCGTTGACTGTTCTTGCCAGAGACATAAATTGTGCTGTGAATATTTTAGTGCAGGATGAGGGCAGAGAAGAGAACTGAATAAGAAATTTTTTCTTAACTGGAATTTTGAAAGAAAACTCTGTCTTACAGGTTTTAATTAAAATTAGGTTGTAGGTTTAAGATTGAATTGTTTGGTGCTGAATTCATTAGTATAAATACACTTTGTTGGATTTTTCATTTTAGGGAACAGATTTGATAGATTTTTGTTTCTGTTTAATATTTTTAAGTTGTTAATTTTTTTCACACGTGAAGAATATGTATGACATATATAAAGGTGTTCTTCAAGGGTGGGCAGGCTATGACCCACGAGACAAAGCCAGTGGCTGCCTGTTGAAGTTGTATCGGAGCACAGCCACGCGTGTCCATGTACTGTCCATGCTGCTTGGCGCTGCAGTTGCTGTAAATAATACAACGGATGAGAAGGTCACCTGTCTTCTGATCTCCTTTCCTGGAAACTGTTTGGAGCCGTCTGGCCTGTTATTTTATTGATATACTCTCATGTTATTCTTGACAAGTCCCTTACTCTGATTCAGGCACAATCAGAACTTTCTCTCTAGCTACCAAATGCACTGTTGGTCTATTATTTCAGGTGATAGATCTTTCTGGAAAGGTACAAACCAACCAGATAAGAGTGTCTAGGCAGTGTATAGCGAGTTTTGGATAAAAAAATACTCTTTAGTATTTTGTGAAACTTACTGAGGTCTTAATTCTACTTTTCCTCCCTGTGCTGTATCCTTACACAGGTCCGTTCTCCTGGGGTCTCGGGGACTTGACATCTCCCACATCTCCCAGCGTTTGGAGAGCCTGAGTGCGGCCACCACCTTCGAGCCTCTTGAGCCTGTGAAGGACACAGACATTCAGGTAAGGGCTGCCGGTGCCTGGACCCGTGCAGGCGGGACCCTGAGCGTGCAAGCCAGGCTGAAGGCCCTGGCCCTTTGTTGACCGGCTGATTTAGGAATTCCCTATTTCTTTTTTAATTCTCTTCTTCCTCGGTTGTTCAGAGAACAGGACACTCGGCTTTGGAGGTTACTGGGGAACATTGGGTTATTTTCCGAGTGCTCTGCTAGGCTGAATCTAAGGAAGCAGTTCCGACCTGCACTTGGTAATTGTGAGATTATTGTAATTGTGAGAACAGATTTCTCTTCCTTCTTTGGGCTTAATCCAAGGCACAAACATTAGTTTTATGTCTTTCTTGTTTTCTTTGCTACATCTCAAGTCATTTTACTGTTTGTCTTCCACATTTCTTTTCTGCATCTTGCTTGCATTGGTTGGCAAAGAGCTGGGGAAACTTAGAGCATTATTTGCTAAAGCCTACTCATCAATTTCTAGGAAGTATTTGGCTACATTAGTGGTACCAGGAAATTGTCTAATAGAGCACTCTACTCTCATTTTACCTAACATGTCACTGGCACAGTTGATTGCTATTTTAACCTAATCAGAAATTGATGTGAGTGTGTGTGTGTGTATGTGTGTGTGTGTGAGAAACATTGTTAAAGAAAAAACTTGTGTGATCCATTTAATTTTGAGGCATTGGAATTTCATTTGTGTTAAAGTAAAGGGATAGTGAGGGACCATTTTTCTTACTGATTTACTTTTGAATTGAAAGGACCCAGGCAAATCCTAGTACAAATGGTACTAATTGTGTTATTGTTTGGGCTCAATTTGGATTAATACTCTCTATCCGCTACCCTTTCCAAGAGCTGTTTTAATCCACCTAATGGCCGCAGTTCTGTATTTAGTCCTATTCAGAAACCTAAAACACTGTATTTTGAGTTGAGAGTTGAGTAACTGTAGATATTCTTTATTTTTCCTGTTACTGATATGGTCCTAGAGTATGGAAATCTAGTTTTTTCTAGTACTAAATCACATTTGCCTGTTACCTAATAGTTATCTTCTTATTCCCATGTAATCTCAAAATGCCATGGAGCCCTAGCCAGTTTGACTCATGGATAGAGCATTGGTCTGAAGACCAGAGGGCCCCAGCTTCAAGGTACAAGGGTATGTACCTTGGTTGCAGGCTGCTCCTCAGCCAGGGCCCCCTGGTCAGGGTGCATGCAGGAGCCAGCTAACCAGTGTTTCTCTCACATCGATGTTTCTCTCTGTCTTTCCCTCTCCCACTCTCTCTCTCTTAAAAAAAAAAAAGAAAAAAATCAATGGAAAAAATATCCTTGGATGAGGATTAATAAAAACCCCCCACAAAAAACAAAACAAAAAAACCCCCACAAAAATGCTGTGGATACATACTTGTCACTTAACTTTTAAAAAAAATTTTCAGTTTTAGCTGTTCTCCTCCCCTCCTTGTATTATATTTCAACTGCTTGCTACTCTGTAAACAAATCCTTATAACAGGGTTGAAGTGTGTGAATGGGATAAGAGCTCAAATAGTTAGGATACTCACCATATATTTTGGGGAGTACCCCAATAGTTTGGAAAGACATGGCACTTGATGTCAGATAGGTTGTTGTTTGTTTGTTTTTTATGTTTAAAATACCAAGGAAGTTGTGTATTTTTTAAAAAAGTGAACTGCTTTTTAAGTTTTCTTTGTTTACAGTCCATATTTGGAATACTCGGCCACATTTACTGATGCACTTCACCAATCCCCACTGATGTGGTACTCTATTTTTTGCTTTGAGGTGTGAATGATGGGTTCCTGAATGCATTGAGTCATAAGGGTCATTTATTCTGACCTTCTACTTAATGCCTGAACAGTCCCTTCAACCTCCCGTCAGATGGCTTCCCAGCACTGCACGCTTAGTCACATTAGTGTTTTTTGATTTGGAATGAGCGTAGCTAAGGGTTTTGGTTTTACCATTGGGAAATCTTGGAATTTTGAGAGGAAGGTTGCCTTCATTCAAAATTTTACCTCTCAGTTGGGCTTTTCTGGAATACCTTCAGAAATGCAAAATGTCAATTCAAAATAACTTTAGATTACTTGGGAATTGAGTATCTAGACCTGAAGTAAAGACTTACTTGTTTTCAAATAAGTCCTCTATTGACTTTATCTTCTTGCCGGCAAAGGCTTTAAAGGAGAAAATTTAACTTTAAAAGGGCTGACACTTGGCTTGATCTGAGACGGCTCTAGTTATTGGTAGGGACTGGAAGCTTTAAGTTGCATTGTGTGGCTCAGCTGACCTATGTTCCAACTTCTGGTCTACACAGTAGTGTCATGCCCGTGTCTGATTTCTTATTTATAAGACAAAGGTAAGAACCAAGCCAGCTTTTGCCCTTGATATGGAGTGGTCTTCCTTTTCATTCTTCTCATAATGTATTTGTTATCCAAGAAGAGTTAAGTTGGAAATTTTCAGTTTTTTTGTTTTTAGAAAATCCAGACATTTTTTTGATGGACATTTTTCTTCTTTATTTTAACAGTTTTATCGATATATAATTCACACACCATAAATCTGATGGATTTGGGTGTATGAACACTTGTTTTCTAGCCAATGTGGTTTTTGAGATGAGAGTATACCTTAACCTCTTGGGCTGAATACCACACAGAGTGAATTTACGATGTCAGTTTATAAATGCATAAGAGAAAATGCTACAGGATCCTTTATACTAGTAGATGCTGCCCAACTGGTAGATGTAGTTTTGGCATTACTTATAAACTTGCATCTGTATATACATGGTAGTCCTTTTCTGTTGGTAAATACTAATATTTCCTTCCGTTTCTAATGGAGCTTGAAATTGATGCAGGTCTTTTTGTTGTTACTTTTTTGTTTGTCATAATCAGTGATGTGATTGGCATGCACTGAGAATACATTTTAAAAACATTGTTCTTGCCAGCAAAAGTAACATTTAAAAAAAACCCCACTTAAATATAGGTATGGCTGATGCTAGTAGAATTTTAAAAAATGTTTATTGATTTGATTTTTTGGAAATGGTCATAAAGAAGGCCTACACATTTGCATAATAGAGGTGGAAGAGCAAGAACTATTATAGCAGTACATGTTACCGACATGACTATCCTGCTGTATTAAAGTGACGTCAAGGTGCTTGCGAGCACAAGTCCTCTCACCGAGGCCCACTTGCTCACTTCCGTCTGTGGAGAGAAATATTGAGGGCAGATTGCACATCTTTATTATGATCTGAACAGACCTAATGTACCATGGCTGACGTGTACTCTATAGTAATAAAGTGCAGATTTACACAGTTCAGTTATAGTCTTGGCTTTCCCACTAGATTGCGTATATATTTCAAGGCTATGCAGAAGTAGCCCGAGTTAGTCATAAAAACGGGAGATGCCATTTATCAGCATTAGACCATAATATTTTCTAATGACACTAGATCAAATAGAATAATATTATTGCTAAACACATTGCATTAGATTCCTAGGCCTGCCACAACAAATTACCACAAACTTAGTGGCCTAACCATTAGAAATTTACCTTTCACAATTTTGGAGGCCAGGGTTTGAAATTGGCAGCGACATGCTCCTCTCCAGGCTTTTTTCTCGTGTTGGCAAATCTACGTCGTCTTTTGTAAGGGCACTGCTGGTCACTGGTTTAGGGCCTACCCTAAATCCAGGATGATGATGTGTGTGAGAGATTTCTGTAGAGACATTTTCCATCCAGAAACAGTGCGCTTTGTATTAAATACCTAGTTTTTAGGGTAAGAATAAGTAGGATTAAGTTGTGGTACTTTTCGAAGGCAGGAAGAGCTAATTTGGGTGTTTGTGTATTCAGCCAAACAGTGGCCTAATCTTTTCTCTTTTCTTTTATACGTTCGGCCTTTGCTTACCACTTTCTTTAGCGTGAAGTAGCACCTTTGTAATGCCCAAGCCCCGACTTCAGTCCAACACTCCACGGCTTTCCTTAGATGCCACCCCTTGAATGGTCTTCTTAGCGCTCTCCTTCCCATGAAGTCCGAAGTTAATGTGTTGGCTTTTCTGCTTAAGAAAAAACAAAACTTTCTGAATGTTCCCTCACAAAGTAAACAGAAATTTAGAATATATTGTTGGAATTGATTTAGCAGCCAATTCAAATTCTAGATTTTAGCCTGTTCTTTAGAAACAAGAATCCTGAACCAAATGTCTTCCTAATGTCTGGATTTCCAGATGAAAATCTGTCCTGTGTGAGGAAAGAGAAAACGAAGTCTTAAACAGAATAAAATGACTGTAAGAAAATTAAAGTCGGGGAAACGGATCTATCACATATAAGACTAATGGTGCAGTAATAATTGACTTGTTAAAACCTTGTTTTGCTTACCACACTGTGTCGATAATAAAATATTCATCATTTCCTTCCTCTTTTTCTGTTCTTGGCTTTGGAAAGGTAGTGTATGCTCAAACCACTCTTAGCTTATTTCAGTAATCAGAGGAAACGAAATGGCTTTGGTAAGTATAAAAATGAATCACGCTGGTGGCATAACCCCTTATTGTTATATAATCTAAATTTATTTTCATGGTTTATCTTTTAACTTTATGTCTTTGGAATTAAGATACTGCTGCTTAAATGCAACTATATATAACACCGAAGAAGAAAAGTGGTTGTGTTGCTTGCTAATGATGTGTTTGTGGCACTCGCAAGTCCTTAGTAGGAATTGGTTTCAGAAATCCTGCGGTAATTTGTTGGAAAGAGGGTCAGACTTTCCTCGAATGATCAGTAGGTCTTCAGGAAGATTATAGGTAAAATGTAACATTGAGGAAAAAGCACAATAAACTCCCTGGCTCAACTCTGTTGAAGGAAAGTGCATTCTGCTTGGGTGAACTGTAGCTTAATTCCAGGATTATTTTGAAAGAAATGTAGTTGTCATTTTCATCTGTTTCTAGAAATTGAAACTGTTAACCATGTGTACCAAGGAGAGAGGTCTTGCCAGAGCTGCTTTAGTAAATTTAAGGAAGAGATGAGGTTCATTCATAAGAT